AAATCAGGAGGGAGGCGTAGCGTGCGAGTGGTAAAATCGGCTAGTGGGAGATGGTGGTAGTGGTGAAATCGGAAGCGGGAGGGGGAACATCGTTGTGTTTAAACATCGTAGAGATAATAGCAGTAGTAGACGTTGGCGGTAAGAGCTACAAGCGTGACGTTATGGTAGTCGTGTGGACTGGTGGATAAATCGGGAAGCATGAGCTTCTGGTAGTCGTAATGTCTGTTGGTACTCGTATTCACTGATAGTTAAATCGAGTGATACGAGATGGTTATCGTCAAGAAGTGGTGTTGATTCATATAGCGAAGGGGATGATAGTAGCAGCGGAGTGCATGTGATAAAATTGGGATGGTAGGCGTAACACGCTTGAAACACAAACAAGAAGTTAGTCAATATGGTTGCAGGGGAGTATTTCTAATAAAATGGGAAGTCCGAGGAGATTGTACCTTCAAGATCCAGGTGATTGTATTCCTGAGCACTAGTAAGTTAATATCCAATGGCGATGGTTATCTTTGCGTTCTATGAGAAATGGCTAATGTAAAATTATCCGTATCGTTAGGACTTCTGGTCAATTCCTAACCATGTAAAATGAATTAATGAAATCTTTAGCATGTAGTCTTATATATTTTAAGTTCCTTTAAACCTTTAAAAATTAGCAATTTATTTTTAAAATGAAGGAACATGATGTAACCACAACTCTGTTCAAATATCATACGCACAATAGCGATAATGTGTAGACCAAATGTTGAAGGTAATGATTTTGACACAATACCATAACCTGTACAGAAACGCCACTATTATTATTTTTAATATTATATTTTGTTTCTATTTACTGTGAGTTCAGAAATCTCCTAAAATTTGCACCAGTATCTTCGAAACAAGTGTGAAATTATTGTACTGTATTTTTGTACTGATTTACTGTTCTAAACAATTACTTGGGAAGATGGCATGCTAAATAAACATTGAAGATACAATTTCTAGCCTAAAATTTCTTCGTATACCGGATATCTTACACAAGATCATACTACATATAATAAAAGTTTCAATCCGAGGAATTTATTACTTTCGTATCTTACCTACGATTCCATTTAAAGATCATGACTTAACTTTAAAGTAAAGGAATACTTTAGGAAGAGAACAATGTTACGCCTGGTGGTGTACATAATATAATTCAACTTTTCACCATTGAATAACTCAACATTCCTTTACGAAACTAAATCAAATTAAATTAATTTTCTTTTTTAATTTGGTATATTTTCCGTTAAGCAAGTCGTTCTCTTTTTTGCAATGTTCATAACTACATTATAGATTAATTCTTCTTATTTATACTAATTTACGCCGTATGGTAACATTTCTTTACTTTAACAATATTATTACAAAATCAATTGAACCAATCCTATTTTCTTTGAAACCAAAATAAGCAATCTTTGTTTAGAATTCACTTGTAATTCAGCTACTTTCTGATTATTGTATTTCAACATTCCTGTTGAGTATCTTCGTTTCCTAACACTAGCAGAAAAAGATCACTTCGTTTTAATTTGTCAATGCAACTTGGCCCAGTGTCCATACCCCCAAATAGTTACGTTGTCAACTATTTGTTCACGAAAACACATAAAAATACCGTTCTCTACGCACCCCGAGCAGTGGAGAGAGAGGTAGCTGCAGGGGCGGAGGCAGTTGCGGCAGCGGTGGCGACGAAGGCAGTAAGGGTGTGGGTGGGGAAGGGTATGGTGGTTGCTTGAGGTTGGCGGTGGCGGCAGCGGTAGCGGCGGTGGTTGCTG